ATTTGAGTAAAACCAATACACCTAAATTAACATTAGAACAAAGTAATAATTTAAATACTCTAATTACAGTCCAAGAAGTAGAGGCAGCGATAAACAAATTAAAATCAGAAAAGACGCCAGGTCCAGATGGTTTTGCAAATATATTTTACAAATCCTTTAAAAATATTATAGTTTCTCATTTAACAAATATGTTTAACGAAATTGTATCAGTTGGCAAATTTCCTACCGAAATGCTAAGTGCAAATATTCTTCCAATCTTAAAAGATAATAAAGACCCTGTAAAGGTGGAGAACTATAGACCCATCTCTTTAATTAACACAGATGTTAAAATCTTTTCATCAGTTTTGGCAAATAGACTAAGGGGATTAATGGAGCATATAATCAAAAATGATCAAATTGGTTTCGTACAAGGTAGAGATCCGGTAGATAATTCTAGAAGATTATTGGATCTGATAGATGCATCTGGAAGAAATAATAAACCTTTATTTGTATTGGCTGTAGATGCCGAGAAAGCTTTCGACAGGGTCGGTTGGGACTTTTTAAGGATAACTATGGAAAAATTTGGAATCCAGGGTAGGATGCTTAATGCTATTTTAGCTCTATATGAAGGTCCAAAAGCAAGAACAGTGGCTCCAAATATATGTTCAGAGTGGTTTACATTAAAAAATGGTACGAGACAGGGTTGTCCTCTGTCGCCTATATTATATATTATGACAATGGAGATTTTAGCTACCAATATTAGAGATCACCCTCGAATTAAAGGATTTAGATACAGAGAGATAGAATTTAAATTGAATTTATATGCGGATGACTTGATTTTGACCCTAACCGACCCTGTCGAATCGCTTAGTGCTTTAATGGAAGAGATAGACAAATACAGTTTGATTTCAAATTATAAAATAAATACAACGAAGTCTACTTTTCTAGCTATAAATATTTCTAGAGACTCTATCCAACAAATTAAAGATAAATATAAATTTAACTGTGATAAAAACAGGTTATCCTATTTAGGTATAGTGATTTCTGATGATTCAAAAGATACGGTCCAAACAAATTTCTTGAAAACATTTAGATCGACACATGAGTCACTAAAAAGATGGAGACAAACTGAATTATCTTGGTGGGGTAGAATCAATTTGGTAAACTCGTACTTACTCCCTAAATGGTCCTACTTATTTCGTATGATCCCTTTGAGAATGCCACAACCATGGTTATCTATGATACAACGAGACATAAACAATTTTATATGGAAAGGAAAAAGGCCGAGGATGAATAAGCATCTTTTGATGCAGAAAAGTAGGAAAGGAGGGATAAATTTTCCAAATGTCAACACAATCTACTTAGCTAATAGGATGTTTCATATATATAAGACACAATTATTAAGTTCAGAGGAAGCTGGATGGTATCAATTAGAAATGGAGATGGTAGAAATGGAAAATTTACATCAATTGATATGGTTAACTAATCAAGACGAAAGAATTAAAAAGGCCTGTACTCTTAATAATTGCTTGCAATCCATTCTAATGGAGTGGGAAAAGCTTAGGATTAATAGCGGAATCCGCAATAAAATATTGGGAAACTTTAACCTTAGTATTATACAACTAAGGATGAAAGATTTAAATATTAGTGAATGGACAAGGAGAGGTATTGTTTATATAAATCAAATAATAACGGGAGATAAAATTAAATCTTTCGAAAATCTGACACAAGAATTTTCATTATCTAGGAAAGAGTGGTACAATTATTTAAGAATCAGAAGCTTTATTAAACAGTTTTTGTTACACCGACCTACAGCCGGTATAGAAAACCTGATAGTTTTATTAAGAAATGAGAGGGTAACGCAAATAGTCTCAAAGGCAAGGACTGTTCTTCTTCAACTCGAAGCACCAAATTTAAATGTAAATATTCAAAAATGGAGTAAAGAGTTAAATGTACAGATTCTAAAGTCTGAATGGGACCAAGTATTATATCAAACAAGTAAAATAATCCATTGTTTGAATCTTCTTGAGGTATTATTTAAATTAATGAACCGCTGGTATTTAGTTCCCACCAGACTGTCCAAAATGTACACTTCTAATTCCGCACTGTGTTGGAGATGTAATGACAAAGAGGGGACTTTTGGACATATATGGTGGGACTGTAGTAAGGTAAAAATTCTGTGGTTTATGGCTTTTGAGTCATTGGAGTATATTACAGAAACAAAAATCCCTAGAGGCCACCAGAATGGTCTATTTCACCTAAATCTGCAATCACTCCTCTTTAAGAACAAATTTATTTATGTCCATTTTGTAGCAGCAATAAAAATAATAATCGCAAGGAATTGGAAGAGTAGCGCAAATTTTACGCATGCTCAGCTGTATTCACAAGTCCAATACCAATTAACCATGGAAGCCTTGGGATACCAGTCTATAAAAATTAGAGATGTTAGCAATTTCTGGAAAGAAAAAATGGAGAGTCTGATTAGATAAAACCCTGGACAAAAATTAATAGAATAATGTGCGTTTTTTCATCTTTTCCTTTCCATTTCTTTTAAGGTAGTAAGATAGAGGTGCCACTGTACTACCCCAAGTAGAGTCTGCAATACAAGTCTGTTTCTGTATGTTTGTTAAGTACATCATACTAATGAATCCTAGTAAAGCCAACTATTTAATAAAATTAATAATAGATAGTGAAGAAGGATGACTATTATGGGAGACAAAACTTTAATCTTAGAAGGACGGTTGGACGGAAATTTCTGTCATACCCATTGTTTTTGTTATTTTGGTATATGGATTTGTTTAATGAATAAAATATAATTTAGTAAAGAAATAGGGAACAAGTAACAATAGTGTAAACATATGATAATGAGCAATATTTAATATATATGTATATATGTAATACTACATGTCCTATTTAATTAGTGCTAAATGTTTACATTTGCTAATGTCTTTCTATATTAGTATGGATGTCGCTAATGTTTCGTACGTTTTGTAAAGGAAAATTGAAATAAATAAATTATAATAAAAAAAAAAAATTACTTTTACAACATTCTGTATTTTTACCCTGCGTTCTATATCCCAACTCCTCAATACTAAAATACGTAAAAAAATAAATAAAAAATATTTCACCAGGAAAGATGCATTGATATTTCTCTGTTATTCTGATCACTGTAACTGTGTACGTCATGTCACGGCTCCCTTTTTGTCCATCTTTACTGCCCAGCAGTTACTGCTAACATTGTCCTCAAAAAGCACAGCAAAGGTTTCTGGGATTTGTAGGTCAGCTAACTGCTATCCTAAAAAGATAACTGAACTACAAGCTAGGGATCGACCAATGTTGATTTTTTTTAGAGCCGATACCGATAATCTGTGAACTTTCAGGCCGATAGCCGATAACTTGCCGATATTCTGTGCATTTACCATTTTGAAAAAATAAACTATTTCTAAAGGTAAATGCACAAAATATACAAGCCACATGCAGTGGATCCAGTGTGTTTAGACAGTGGAGCTGTTTGTATTTGTGTAGTGTGTATATAATGAATGCAGGGTGTGTTTGTGTAGTGTGTATAGTTTATGCAGTGACTGTGTAGTGTGTATAGTTAATGCAGTGACTGTGTAGTGTGTATATAATGAATGCAGAGTGTGTGTGTTTGTGTAGAGCGTGTATAGTGAATGTAGTGTGTGGTGTGTAAATTGAATGCAGTGTGTGTGTGTAGTGTACGTTGTAACGAATCACCTGGCACCCCGACTGGGTACCTCTGTTGAAGGATGCTCCTAGCGCTTCCTGAGGACTCCAAGCACTGCAGCAGACACCACAACCACCGAAGGGGGGGACAAAAAAAAAAAAAAATTAAAATAAAAATGCCCTCCCCCCACCCAGTTCACACACACACTACACAAACACACACTCTGCATTATATACACACTCTGCATTATATACACAGAGTGTGTGTATATAATGCAGAGTGTGTGTTTGTATGAGTGTGTGTGTATATAATGCAGAGTGTGTGTTTGTATGAGTGTGTGTGTTTAATGCAGCATGTGTGTTTTGTATGAGTGTGTGTTTAATGCAGCATGTGTGTTTGTATGAGTGTGTGTGTGTGTATATAATTATAAAAATCACAGAATTTCATAGCCCCAAGTTTTACCCTCGACTTATCCACGAGGCATAGCATATTTCACAATTGTTGGTCACAAAACTGCACTCGACTTATACATGAGATCGACTTATACACGAGTATATACGGTACTCAAAAATCAGGGCAATCGGTTCAGGGGTTAAAAAGTTAAGGGAAAGTCCTATTTGACCAAATGAAGCATGGTTTTTCTGCTCAAAACCAGTTCCACAGAGTCTTCTATCCTGGAGATAATTGGGAAGTAATCCAATTATCTCCAAGGACAGAGGCAAAACTCCATTAGCCACATGGTAGCAAAATACAATAAAATACATAAAAATATAGAACTGTGCAGCTATTGCATAAAACGGGTACATTCAACATATCCCCAGATAGCTGAGATCTGAGCGCAAATTATTACTGAATGGCGCTCAGATCACATACATACAATTTAATTGCCATGGAGCCAAAGTCTTTCACATAGTTTTTCGTTATACGAATGGTCTCCATGGCATAGCTATCTGGTGTAACACTGCTCACATAGGGAAAGTACCGAATGACCCGGCTTTCGGGTCTTTGCAGGGGAAAATCCAGCATGTCAACATGGGGCCATAGTCGCAGGGCAGGAGGCTGGCAATCAGTCTTCACCAATGCCCAGTGGCGAGGCTGGTTCCGCCACATGCGTAAAGTGAGTGCAGTGTGTATAGCGAACGCAGTGTGTGTAATGTGTGTATAGTGAATGCAGTGTGTGTAGTGTGCGTATAGTGGATGCAGTGTGTGTAGTGTGTGTTTAGTGTGCGTAAAGTGAATGCAGTGTGTTTGTATAGTGTGTGTATATAATGTAGTGTGTGTGTAGTGTGCGTAAAGTGAATGCAGTGTGTTTGTAAAGTGTGTGTATATAATGAATACAGTGTGTAGTGTGTGTATATAATGTAATGTAGTGTGTGCATTATATACACACACTACATTACATTATATACACTCACTACATTATACACACACACACTACACACTCTGCATTATATACAGAGTGTGTAGTGTGAGTATATAATGCAGAGTGTGTGTGTTTTCCTGAAAGGATGTGATTTGTGTAAAATGGGGGGTGGGGGAGAGGCATTTTTTTATTTACATTTTTATTGTTTGTTTTATTTTGTTTTATCTATTTTTCCAGGGAGTCATGGGAAATGTAAGTGCATTTTATGAAATGTTAATATTGGGGTCCCAGGGAAAGCTGTGTTGTCAGAATTTAGTGTTATTACATTAAAATCGAAATGAAGAACAGAGATTTCTAAAGCAATGTGTTTGTAGAGTTAGATGTAAAGAGGGACTGATGATGCCAAAGTTCTCTCTGTGCTAGATTCATATTTATACCTAGTTACTTTGTAAATACTGTTTTGCTGAATAGTGAAATATATGTAAGTTTACAGTTGTGTCCGATGAAAAAATACTTTATAATCGTTTGTTGCAGAATATAATTACCGTACACTCTTACTTAATTTGGACTTTAAAAAACGAAATAGGACTAACGGTCGGTCTCTCTTTCTGGAGTACAAAAGTACATGAATCATATGAACAGAGCCTTATAAAGTCCATTGGAAAAGGTATATTGCAGGGCCAATAACCCTGAAGCAGGAGGCTGGCAAGCAGGCCCCTCCAAAAGCCCGTGACGAGGTTCAGTTCGTCACAGATATTACTTACCTTTTTTCCCACGCCGAGATCAAGTTCTGCAGCCGATCGTCCAAACTTCCATGGCATCACACCAATGCAACATCACGTCAATGCTCCCCATAGAGGAGCATTGGGTACTGCAGCGCTCCACTTCTTTTGGAGACAAGATTGACTTTGTTCGCCCCGCGGAAGCGCCTCTAGTGGCTGTCAAACAGACACAAGAAGCGTCTTTAACCCTGCAATGTACATTGTGCCATATCTACTAAACAACTATGAATTACATTGCAGGGTTAAAACTAAAGGATCACCACACCCAGACCGCACCATTGAGATAAAGTGGTCTGGGTGCCTTTAGTGTCATTTGATGTAGCTGTGTTTAAAAATCAGGAACACAATTTCTTTTAACCCCTTAAGGACCGAGGACGGTTCAGGACCGTCATCGTCATTTTTGCGTTGCCGACCGATGACGGTCCTGAACCGTCCTAACGGTCAGAGCTACTTACCTGATCGCCGTCGTTCCCCCGGCGGCAATCAGCGTGGCTCCGGTTGTGGGGAGACTGTCTGCAGCCCAGACAGTCTCCCCACGGCAGATTAGGACCCCTGTGGCCATGTGATCGCTTAACACAGCGATCACATGGTCACAATAGGTGTCCATGTGTCTGCCTGCAGGGGGACTGCCTGTGCTGACAGGCAGTCTCCCTGCTAGTGTAAAATCAAAAAAAAAATAAAGTTAATGTTAATAAAAAATAAATAAATAATTATATATGTGTATATATGATATATAGACATATATTATATCTATATAATATATGTCTATATATCATATATATAATGTCATACTAAGTGTATTTTTATATTAATATGTACTTATATTAATATAAAAATACACTTATAATTAAATTACACACGTATATATATAATATATATAATAACTATATATATTGTATATATATATTATTATAAAATATAATAAGTAATTTAAATTAAATAAAAAATTTTTAAAATAATAATAACATTTTTTAAAATAATTATATAGCTCTATGAAATTTTATTCTAACTGTATTTTAAAATTAATATATATATATTTATATCAAAATACACTTAGAATGAATTTGTATATATATCTATGTATATAAAAATAAATAAAAATAATAAGAAATATACATACGTCCATATACAAAATTACATAAATAATTATATAAATATACACGTAGACTTCAAATATATAAATATGCATATATATTTAAATTCTACGTGCGTATTTATGTAATATTTTTACATAATTCAGTAATTTTATTGATTGCAATTTGAGGGACCTGCCTGCCAACCCAGGCCGAAATTCCAGAGAATTTAATTTGCTAGCACTGTATTTTACCCTGTAACGTTCTACGACACCCTAAAACCTGTACATGGGGGGTACTGTTTTACTCGGAGACTTCGCTGAACACAAATATTAGTGATTCAAAACAGTAAAACATATCACAGCGATGATATTGTCAGTGAAAGTTACTTTTTTTGCATTTTTCACACACAAACAGCACTTTTACTGATGATATAATTGTTGTGATACGTTTTCCAGTTTTTAAACACTAATATTTGTGTTCAGCGATGTCTCCCGAGTAAAACAGTACCCCCCATGTACAGGTTTTATAGCATTTTTGAAAGTTACAAGGTCAAATATATGGGTCAAATATTTTTACATTGAAAATGGCCAGGTTGGTTACGTTGCCTTTGAGAGCGTATGGTAGCCCAGGAATGAGAATTACCCCCATGATGGCATACCATTTGCAAAAGAAGACAACCCAAGGTATTGCAAATGGGGTATGTCCAGTCTTTTTTAGTAACCACTTGGTCACAAACACTGGCCAAAATTAGCGTTCAATTTAGTTTTTTTACTTTTTTCACACACAAACAAATATGAATGCTTACTTTGGCCAGTGTTTTCGACTAAGTGGCTACTAAAAAAGACTGGACATACCCCATATTGAATACCCTGGGTTGTCTACTTTAAAAAAAATATGTACATGTGGGGTGTTATTCAGAGATTTATGACAGATAATAGTGTTACAATGTCACTATTGATAAATTTTAAAAATGTATGTTTTGAAACCGCAATATCCTACTTGTACCTATAGCCCTATAACATGCAAAAAAAAGCAAAAAAGCACGTAAACACTAGGTATTTTTAAACTCAGGACAAAATTTTGAATCTATTTAGCAGTTTTTTTCATTCGCTTTTGTAGATGAGTAAAAGATTTTTCAAGTAAAAGTCAAAAAACATGTATTTTTTCAATTTTTCATCAGATTTTTGTATTTTTTTTAAATTAAAATACATGAGATTATATAAATAATGGTATGTAAAGAAAGCCCCTTTTGTCCTGAAAAAAACAATATATAATTTGTATGGGAACAGTAAATGAGAAAGCGGAAAATTACAGCCAAACACAAACACCACAAAAGTGTAAAAATATGCCTGGTCACAAATGTACAACATCGCAAAAACAGTCCAGTCCTTAAGGGGTTAAAGGACCACTCTAGGCACCCAGACAACTTCAGCTTAATGAAGTGGTCTGGGTGCCAGGTCCCTCTAGGATTAACCCTTTTTTAAATAAACATAGCAGTTTCAGAAAAACTGCTATGTTTATAATAGGGTTAATTCAGCCTCTAAAGCCTCTAGTGGCTGTCTCATTGACAGCCGCTAGAGGCGTTTGCGTGCTTCTCACTGTGAAAATCACAGTGAGAAGACGCCAGCGTCCATAGGAAAGCATTATGAATGCTTTCCTATGAGACAGGCTGAATGCGCGCGCAGCTCCTGCCGCACATGCACATTCAGCCGGAGAGGAGGAGGAGAGCTCCCCGCCCAGCGCTGGGGAAAAAAAGGTAAGATTTAACCCTTTCCTCGCCATCCAGCCCGGTGGGAGTGGGACCCTGAGGGTGGGGGAACCCGCAGATAGGTCAAGAGACACAGAAAGAAACCAGACCACTGTAACCACCTTGTCATACTGACCTGAGGATAACCCACACATAGTTAATTCAGATAAAAACAGCAGTGTTCCTTAGACGTAACCTAGACTGGTACAGGCACAGGACAGGCCCTACTCACATCAGCCACCTAGCTAAACAGATAACGGCTCGACTGATACAAAGGCAACGCGAGTAGTAGAGTACCACTGACACACGCCTAAAGGACCAACCCAATGTTATTTTTCAACATAATGTGCGGCCAATACCTTAGTCATATCATGTGTAACCATTGAATTTATTGAAATGGTATTGCAATTTTGAACATGTTGTTATGCACAGCAAAAATAAAGAATTAAAAAAAATAAAATAAAAAATTTACAGTTTCATGCCAGCTTTTCACCGTTTCTGGTCTGGAATTAGCTGTCTGTGCGTAGTTTGTACTGCCATCCTAATGGTAAACAGGGTTTATACTTTTATGATTGGGTGACGGTGGAGGGGGCTTTGTGTTAGTTTTGGGGAATGCTAGCTGATTGATATTTAGTCCTTTAGGCATTGCATGAGTTGTCTTTAAATAATAATCCATCAACATTAACAATGCTTAATCTTTTTGAGTTTCTATTTGAACTTTTAAAGAGGTTGCATCAACAGGTTTGCTCTGTGCACTGTTAGCAATACAATGTGTACAATAACCAAATAATTAGAAGGTGCCACCCCACACCCTCTCAACCTCCCCTCATCTCTCTCTGGCCAGTTCCCAGCACGGCCATAAAAAGAATGCTTTTAACTTTGTAGATTTAACTTTTGTTTTTACCTAGGGGTGCCTGGGATTTAAAGGAACACTCCGGGCACCATAACAACTTCAATGGAAATACATAGTTTTGGTACTGTAAGGCCCCCGGTGCTATCTTCAAAACCAAAGTCCTGTATCCCGCGCCAGATTGCTCTGTCCCCTTTCCTTGTATTGCTCAGAATCTTGAAAGAAACATCTGCCAGGGAGCTGCTGATTGGCTGAAAGTGTTAGCTCTAAGCCAATCGGTAGCTCCTCATTTACAAAAGGCCAATCTTTCAAGTAGATTCTGAGTAGTAGAAGGACATGTGTATCCAGCGATCCGGCTCTGGATACTGGACTTTGGTGTTAAACAATTTAACCCCTAAAGGTAAGCCAGCGCCAGGTACCTACTGGCACCATAACTTCATTCCAGTTCACTTTAATTCTTATCCTGACCATTACAGTAGCTGCTCTAGGCTTACATACATTTTTGTAGAAGGCAATCGCTAGAATTAAAATAGCCTTCATAAAACGTGCAGGCTTAGTATCTCAGGATACCGCACAGACAGCTGTCCCATTCAATATCACACTCTT